GCCATTTTTTAATTTAATACTACAGCTTACTTAACACCTTTCCTTAGAAAATTGCATTTTAAAAGGAAGCGATTAGAGTCAAATGTTCCCTTGCCTTTGTGTCTCCCTGAAGACACAATCTAAGGACACAAGAACAAGCCACAGATGGGGTGAGTTCTAGAAGAGCCCCCCGTGCCACCAGCTCGGGAACCAGATGGCAGAGCGCGGATTGTAAAGGGCAGAGTTCAAAAGGAACCTTTGGGACTTTCCCTTCCGATCTATATTTCTTAATGTATCCTTTAGAGGCAGTGTGGTGGACAGGTGGAAGCCTGGGTTTACCAATTTTACACCTTGCTTCTCCTCTTAGCAGCTATGAGAGCTAAACGAGGAAATACGTACCAAAGACAACAAGACTTTGTGGGCATGAAATGCTAAGTTACCCAACTCTGCTTTCCCCGGGGTGCTACTGCCCTGCCAGCCCCTCCAACTCTGTTGGCACGTCCCAATCTCACATATATTTGCTTTCTCACTAAAGGTGAACTTACCAGGAATCAGAGTTTCTATCCCCAAGCTTTCTTTTCCTGAGGTTTTGGACAAAGGGAAGGATGTGTGCCTGGTTCTAGCTGTCCAATAAATTTGTGGGGTCTCAGATTCGGAATTGTAGTCTTTCTTGGGGGAAAAAAACACATCTGCTGAGTCTTTATCAAGCCCTGGAAAACAAGAAACCAAGTTTGCTCTTTCAGCTAGTGTGCAAAAGAAAGAGGTGATGGAAGGAAAAAAGTTTCATTTTCCCTTGCTTCTTTCAAATATACACAAAATGGATCAGCCCAGGTATATCTTTTTTGTTGGGGGGAGGGAGGAGAACCTCTGAGTTTCTATGGAAAATTTTCAGAAAGTCCCGTTAGACTTTGCCAACCCACTGCAAGGTGAAACATATTGGAGCTCTAAATACGTAGCTCTAAGACAGCTCTAAGACAGCTATGGAGAGGAGCTAAAAGAGGGTCGGTTTTTCTATTGCGCTTGCTTTTCTCCAATGATAACAAATCACTACCTTTGATGGATTAAATTATATCTCCCACACCCCCAAAATATGTGTTGTGTTGCAATCCTGACCCCTCACTTGTAGATGTAATTCCTTTGGGGAATGAGTTGCATTTGTCGTGTTAGTGAGATGTCAATGTAGGGTATTTCCTAAACAAAATCACTTCTAATTAAGAGAAACAGCAGATTGGACACAGGAGGAGGCACACATATGGAGAAGACAGGCTATGTGGAATCATGTACTACAGAAGCAGAAGCAAGGTTCTTTCCACAGAGCCAACAAAGTTAACATCTTCCTCTGGAGCCTGTGACCTGAATTAGAACTTCAAACCTCCTAAACTGTTTGCAAAAAAAAAAAAAAATGTGATTCTTTAAAGCCACTCATTTTTATTTCTCTTACCATAGCACTTGGAAACCAAAATAATACTTTTGCACTAACTTAGAAATTTGTATTATTTTTAGAGTGCATCTTCTCTAGGAAAGT